GTGTTTTCACTGCTTGGGGTCGCAGTACAGAGCCCGAAACTATCTGTGTCCCCAACCAGTTGGCTTCAATAAAGCACTCCTTTTAACTGAGACTCAGTGTCCGAGTGGTCAAGTTAGGGAATTTTATGGACCTCCCCTAACATCTTTGGGGGCTCGTCCGGGATTCCCTGAAAACCCTCAGTCTGTTTTCCTGTCTTTTTCTGTCCTCCATCTGGCGCCTGGAGACTTAAGTTCTGATTCCTGCTGTGGTGAGTTTGTTTTGGGTTCTGTTCTGGCTGTCTGGACTTCTAGGGGCTCAAAGGAGAGAAAATGGATGCAGTATTGCTCTCTGAGCTGGAGGACAGGGGAACGCCCTGACCCTCCATCTGATTGGTTGACTGTCTGTGGCCTCTGGGCATTTGGCATTGACCCTAGTTGCTCCCGCAGAGACCATCCAGCGCACAGCAATTCCCCAAAACACAGCGCTTTTGTTCTGTGTCGTCCTGGTTTCAAGCCTTTGTTTCCTGTTTGTCTGGTTCTCATTGCTCTTTGTTTTGGATTAATACTCTTCTTTTCCATTGTGGGTCAGACTCCTTTATCTGAAGATACTCCCCTTAACCTATTTCTTTCTCATTTTAAAGATTTCCAAAAAGCAGCTGCAATCTCTGGAGATGCTGTTTATTCGGGGAAATTCCAGACCCTCTGTTCTCTTGAATGGCTGTCCTTTGATGAAGGATGGCCCTCTACTGGTTTCTTTGAGATTAATAAGCTTTCTTCTCTTCAGGCTGATCTTTGGACGCCCAGGACACCCTGATCAGGTTCGTTATGTCATGGCTTACTTTTACCTTTTGGACAAACCTCTCAAATGGTTGGGACTCCCTATTTATCTCCTCCCTCAAAACCCTATGCCTCTGGCAATAGTTTTCTTGTCTACACTCCCTTCTCAACTAGAGATCTTTATAACTGGAAATTACAAAAACCCCCTTTCTCTGAAAAACTACAAGCCTGAATTGGGTTGTTGGAGATGATTTTTCTTACTTACCAGCCCACCTGGGATGATGTCCAGCAACTCTCTTACCCTCTTCACCACTGAGGAATGCACCCGGACCCTCTCTGAGGCCCAGAAACGGGTACCAGCCGAAAGTGGCCCATTTACTGAGGATCCTGAGGCGATCGAGGGATTTTCCCTCACTGCCACCCAGATTGGGATCCCAACACCCCTGCAGGTAGGGAGTCACTCAGATTCTATCACCAGCCTCTTATGGGGGGGGGTCTTGAGGCCACTACAAAAAGGCCTACAAATTTGTCAAAAGTCAGCCAGGTTTTTCAGGACAAAAGACTTGTTGAAGGAACTTCAACCACTGCCCTGCCCCTGCCAGCATCTCCTGCCCGCCCACCCCCTTGGTGCCACTGGGAGGAAGCGAGATGGAGGCTGCCTGCAGGTTTGCTGCTGCTGCTGGTCCACCATGCCTGAGAACAATTGGAAGAAGGTATGCACAGGCCCTCCTCTGCAAGGACAAAGACCGTCCTGGACATCCCCATTCCCTGAAGTCAGAGGCAAGTCAGAGAATTCCTGGGGTCAGATGGATATTGTTGCCTATGGATACCTGGTTTTGCAGAGCTGGCCAGGCCTCTATATGAGCTAGATGGCCAGCCTGTCTGAAGATCATAGCATCCACTGCAGTCCTAGTTAAGGATGCTGATAAGCTCACCTTGGGACAACAACTGATTGTGACCACCTTGCACACTATTGAAGGGGTGCTGAGGGCACCGCCTGATCGCTGGCTCATGAATGCAAGATTAACTCATTACCAGTCTCTCCTGCTAGATGTGCCCCACCTGACATATGCAGTGACTAGTGCCTTAAACCCTGCATCCCTGCTCCCTGAGACTAAGTCTGAGACAGCTGTGCATCACAATTGCTCCGAACTGCTGCAGCATGTCCAGGGAAGCCGACCTGATCTCACCAATATACCATGGAAGAGCCCTGACTTGGTGATGTACACAGGAGTAGTTACATAAAAGGTGGGAGTCAGGTATGCAGGGGCAGCAGTAGTCACCCAGGAGGACGTCTTATGGGCGGAAGCCCTGCCCAAAGGAACCTCTGCACAAAAGGGTGAACTGATAGCCTTGATTCAGGCCCTAAGACTGGGAGAAGGTAAGACTGTCAACATTTACACTGACAGTAGATATGCTTTTGCCACTGTTCATGTACATGGGGCCATCATTCGAGAAAGAGGCCTCCCGAAATCAGAAGGAAAGACTATTAAAAACAAACAAGAGATCACTGATTTGTTAAGAGTCATATAGATGCCAAAAAGTGTAGCAGTCATTCATTGCCCAGGACACCAAAAGAACGACACACCTGAGGCCCGAGGAAACCAAAAGGCGGATCAAGTTGCCAAGGAAAGAGTCATATAGATGCCAAAAAGTGTAGCAGTCATTCATTTCCCAGGACACCAAAAGAACAACACACCTGAGGACCGAGGAAACCAAAAGGCGGATCAAGTTGCCAAGGAAATAGCAGAATCCCCATCCGAACCTGCTCTCCTAGCCCTGCCAAATCCTACGTTACCTGAAAAGCCTTCATACACAGAAAAGGATGACAAATATTTCCAGACAATTCCAAATGGGTACGTCTCCTCAGGATGAAGACACACTGCAGACGGCAAGGTGATCCTCCCTCACCACCTGGGGGAAATGCTAGTTCACCGACTTCATGAAGGAACTCACATGGGAAAAGAAAAGATCAGGTTATTACTAACCGGATGCTTCCAGTTTCCCTCCTCAACAGCTACAATACAGGACATCACCTCCAGATGTATGGCATGCCAGATGACTAATGCCTACCTAAAAAATGATAAATCCTCAGGAAAAGGTGAAAGAGGAACTGTCCCCAGAGTCCACTGGGAACTAGACTTCACTGAGGTGAAGAGGGGCCGGTTTGGATAAAAATATTTACTGGTTTTTGTAGACATTTTTTCAGGATTGGTAGAAGCCTTTCCCACCAAGAAGGAGACAGTGCTAACACAGTTGCCAAAAAGTTATTGGATGAACTCATTCCCAGGTTTGGTGTGCCCTTAATGTTAGGATCTGACAATGGACTGGCATTCATCTCTCAGGTAATTCAGGCCTTAACAAAGGCTCTGGGGAAAAACTGGAAACTACATTGTCCATACCATCCCCAGAGTTTAGGACAGGTAGAAAGGATGAATTGGACCATGAAGGAGACCTTGACTAAATTAACCCTAGAATCTGGCACAGACTGGGTGACTCTCTTCCCTTTTGCCCTTCTGAGGGTTAGAAACTCCCTATATCTAAGGAGTTACTCCTTTTGAAATTCTTTTTGGGAGACCTCCTCCCCTGGTCCTGAGATTAAGATCAGAATTACTGGCTGAAATATCTAATCATGAAATCCTTCAGTCTGTTAGGGCATTGCAGGTTGTACAGGAACATCTCCAACCACTGATCTGGCATGTGCATGAACTGCCTCCCCTACTCCACATCCTTGCAGACCTGGAGACCTTGTCTGGATAAAACGACATCAAAAGGAGACACTGGCCCCTCGAAGGAAAGGCCCATTCACTGTGATCCTGACGACTCCCATGGCAATAAGGGTCTCTGCTGTACAACTGATGGTTATGAGGGCTCATTGCAACCCCCAGCGGCAATAAAGGTGGACAGACTGCGCATCTGGATTCATCACTGCTCTGGCCGGTCCCCTCTTAATACTTATAGCATTAACCTTTGGACCCTGTATCTTTAATGCTCTAGTCAAATTTGTTAAACAAAGGGTCTCTGCTGTACAACTGATGGTTATGAGGGCTCATTGCAACCCCCAGACGACACATATGAACCAATGGTTTGATTCAAGAAGATTTCTAAAACAAAAGTGGAGAATGAAAGAGAGTGCCCCTCCGACCCCTCCCTGTCCTCTGAGAAAGAGCTGCCCTCCGCCTGACTCTGGAAATCCCCTCCACTGTTCAAACCCTTTCCTGGTACATCTCTTTATGGTTTCTATGGGAATGGTCTGGGGCAAAAGAGGAAAAACGTTCTGCCCCAGGTAAGCTAGCCAACAGTTGTATAGGTTAAGTCTCTGGAAACAAGCCCTAGATTGTTCCAATCCTTTCCTGGTTATTCTGTGTATGGTTTCTATAGACATCCCCTACTTTGTGGTTTTTATGCTTAAAAGCCCTGTGTTTTCACTGCTCGGGGTTGCAGTACAGCGGCCGAGACTGTGTCCCCAACCGGTTGGCTCCAATAAAGCGCTCCTTTTTACTGAGACTCAGTATCTGAGTGGTCAATTTGGGGAATTTTACAGGCCCTGAACATACAGACCCACTAAAGAAGCTCCAATTTTGAACCTGGGCACTCAGCTCATTTGTGAGAATGTGAAGAGGCTAAATTGACACATAGGGGCCTCAAACAGCCTGAAGACTGTCTTGTGACCCAGCCTGGGCTGTTGTAAGTAACCCTCCTCTACACAGCCTCCTTTGAGTTCAACAACAAGGTCAGACCTTATCCTTCCTTGGCTCAAAACACACTTCCATTGACCTTGGAGTAACAGCAAATTCTAGAACTCTCCATGATGTAGCCTCAGTCTACTCTCTGACTTTGTATCTTGTTGCTTTGTCCCTCACTCTCAGTTCTACTAGCTGAGTCTTGCTTTCTCTTGCTCACACCAGGCACATTCCCACCTTAGGGCTTGGCCCTGATGCTTCTTTGCCTTGGACCAATATTCCAATCAGCATCACTTTATTCCATCTTCTGTTCGTATCCACGAGGATGCTCCTGGTCTATATTCATTAAGATTATGACTCGCCCCAACTTTTGCCCTCTATTTTCTGAATGCAGTCTGAGGCGAGCACAAAGAGATAGCACTTAAACTCATTTCATGAGGCAGGATGCTTCTCTGCTCAGGAAGCCAGCTTGTACTTTCTTGTGCCCCCACTGTCATCACAGGGATAGTGAGAAGCAGCAGAACTTTGAACCCAGCTGGCTTCGGGTCACCAGCCACTCACCTGATGGGGTAGTCAGCAGCGCTAAGGTTGATGAAGAAGTCCCAGGACCAGTCAGTCATCTCCAGGAGATCCCGCATGCTCTGCAGATAGGTGGACAAGAGGCTGGCTCCCCCCCAGATCGTGGCCATCCTCCAGGGGGTGACACGGACATTGTCGTATTGCCTGGCGAACTGGACCACTTGCCGATGCAGGTAATTGGAGCGCTTTTCCCAGGAGAGAAAGGGGGTCAATTAGCAGCCCAAAGAATATCAGCCCCCAGGCTCTCTGCCACCCTCTCCTCTCTTGGTCCCTCCCTTCCCAGTAGTTAGTGCATCTGATCATGGCAGAACTGGCCTTCACTGATGTGGGCCCGCAGCATTTTCTGCACTCAATATTCAAGCTTTTAGTCTGTTTTGCATTCTCAATAGTACTGGAATGTAGACTCCCTGGGCCCACCTTTGAGTGAGCAGATTCCTGGATTTGGGATGATAGAGCCTAGAGTTCTACATCTTAAATGATGACTCATGCATGTCATCTGAGGGTACCAGGCTAAAGAACCATGGGCCAGTCTAAATTTTGTGGGTCATTAGGGGATGGAGTTTCTGTATTCTGCCCTTCAAAACTATTCCCCACCTCCCCTCAATTGTCAGGGGGTGGCACAGATGACCTTGTATCTTGTCACTCTGCCCCTCCCTCTGTTTCACTCTGTGAGCCTTGGTTTCTCTGGCCCTCACCAGGCACATTCTCAGCTTAGGGCTTGGCCTTGGCTCTTCTCTGCTTTGAATCACTTTTCCACAGCATCATTTGCTTCATCTTCTATTCTTATCCATAAGGATGCTCCTGGCCTTTTTCATTAAGATTGTAACTCACCAAGTTTTGCCCTTTTATCTCTTTATTTTATTTTATTTATTTATTTTTTATTTGGTGTTAGGATACAATCAGGACTTTGTACATGCCAGCCAAGCTCTCTACCACTGACCAACATACCCAACCCATGGTTTTATGAAGAGACCAGGTTGTGCTACACAGCTGGGGCTGACCATGACCTCACAAGCTGCTTTCCAAGGGCCAGGATTCTAGGCATGAGCTACTAGGCCTGGTACCCTCAGATAACATGCATGAGTCATCCTTCTTAATAAAAAACATGATCATGTCACCTCAGCAGACTGACAGAAACCTCTAGGCAAAAGTGATTCCTGGGTGGGTAAGATGACTGTGGGTTTTTGCTAATCAAGCTTTATTGATACATACAGTCATATCCATTTGTTGACATCTTTCTGTGGCTGCTTTTGTAGGACAAGGGCAGCACCAATTAGCACATGGCTCACAAAACCTCAGTTATTGGCTACCTAGATTTTCCAAGAAAAAGTGAGCCCATTTCTCAGATACTTTCCAAGATCTGTGAGAGGCAGGCAGATGGTACTGGACAGGGAGGGAAAGAGGCAGGGAACACAGACAGCTAGATGAGAAGGTCTCATGTTATATTGTGCAGAAGGGAGACCAACGCTAACAGTAACATAGAACAGTTTTAAAATAAACCTATGGGAGGATCTAAATGAGCTTATCACAAGAAATGAGACATTTAAGGCTACAGATACACTAATTTCCTGAACATTTGGTTCACCACATATATATATATACCGGAATATCAAACTGTACCAATAAATATGTATAATTATTATGTGTCAAAAAAGAAGAAGAAAAACAACCAAAGAAACAACACAGAGAAAGCAGAGAGTTATGGCTAAAATTTCTGAAACCAGTACACAAGAGAGTCTACACATGCACACAGGCACACGCAGAACATTTCAAGACCATGTGTTGCTAGTCTGCCCCTGGTCCAGAGCCTGGCCTTGTGATATGGAAGGAAGGATCAGAGATGGATAGACAGATTACAGAGGAAGCCAGCAAGGGATACAGGTGGCGGCTCCTCACCTTATCCACATGGATGTAGTAGAAGTGGTCCTTGTGGTAGATGGCCTTGAACATGCGCTGTAGCTGGCGAGAGGCCCGGCCGTGGACCACCAGGACGAAGGCGATTCTGACTGGGTTGGCTGGCACGTGTTCCACAGAGTCCTCATCCCACTGGACATTCTTGTTGGCTTTACCTGAGGGAAACCAGAGATCATAGAGGTGAGGCTAGGCTGTCCTTTGGGGGACAGGCACTGTCTCGCATATTTCTTCGGGCCAGGAACTACTTAAGGAGCACCGTGGCCAGAGTAGATCCTAGAACTTTATTTGACTTCACCAAGCAAGTCCTAGACCTTTATGCTATCCAGATACAGATGGTAGGATACCTTGGGGTGCTTATGACACACTTTCTATCTCCAAGGAGCTTGACGAGGTTGATAGGGACAAAGGGACCATGTTCATTACCAAGCAAGAGAGAAGGGCAAGAGATAAACCACAAAGGGACAGAAGTTAATTGAGTTAGGAAATCTGAGGGGCACATGCCACCATTGTCTGTCCAGGCTTCGTGCTTCCTTATCCCCCCACCAACAGCCAGTAAGCATATGTGTTTCCATTATGGTATGAGGAGGTAACATGACCTCTGACCTCTTGACAAATTTTAAAGTGTTCAACACTGTATTACTAATTAGAAGTACAATATTTTCTAGCAAAACTGGAGCCTATTCATCTTTCATAACTTGAACCTTATCTGATACTTGTGGGTGTTTATACCTGTTCATATTGGGGGTGGGGAGCATGTGCTTATGAGTGTACATATAGGGGCCAGAGGTCAACATCTGGTGACTTCCTTAATTGCTCTTATCATTTTTTGGGACAAAGTGTTTCACTGAACCTAGAGCTCATTGATTTAGCCAGACTAGGCGGCCAGCAAGCCCCAGGGGTCCTCCTGTCTCTGCCTTCTAGTCCTGGGATTATAGACACACACACCACTGTGGCCAGCTTTGTTACAGAGGTGCTGAGGATCTGAACTCAGGCACGTTACCAACTGAGCCATCTACTAAGTGTCTTATTTGATGCTTAAATTTTTTTTATTCATTTATTTTTATTTTATGTGTATGTGTATTTTGTCTGCATGTATGTAAATGTACCCATGTCATGCCTGCGGAGGACAGAAGGGGGTGTCAGATCCCCTGGAACTGGAGTTTCAGATAGTTGTTAGTTGCCATGTGGATGCTGGGAATCAAATCCAGTGCTCTTAACTGCTGAGCCATCTCTCCAGCCCCATATCTCATGCTTTTTGAGGGCCTTCTTCTTGCCCATGTTCAGTTCACAGTGGTGGGGCACACCAACTTGATTATCAATCCAGGGGTAGTCCTGTAGCTCAGGACTGGTCAATCAGAACCTGGTACCCCCTGGCCACAGTACTATTCAAATGGATATCTGACCCAAGCAAAATAATTTACCAATAAGACAATACCCCAGTTCTGTTGCAACTATCAGATAGAGGTTTCTTCCCTGTTCCACATCAAACTGGAAGATGATAAGAGCCTTTTGGTTCCCACATGGAAAGAAATTGCCAGAAGAAAGTTAATACAGAGGGAAGCTCTGCTGAGCAGTGGCTGGTCCCAAGTCCTAATGACCCAGCTTGAGCTCCAGGATCAGCCACGCTGGAGATCCGCCACTATTACACTATTACATGTTCCTTTTCTTTGGAAGCCAGATCCTATATTTGATCCACCTTGATGAATGACTCCAGACATCTTTTACCCTGAAATCAGTCTCAGAAACTCTCCCTCTCCAAGGCCAAGGGCCAGTTGGGATACAACTTCCCAACTCAGTGTGTTACAGCACAGACTCAATGCTGCCTGGCTCCCCCGGCCTCATTGCTTTCAGGACTAACTGGATTTCTGGCAGGGTCTAGGTTTGTGGAGCCCTGACGTTGTTTTGTTGGTGGTTTCAAGAGTTCCAGAATGTTAACCTGGGATGCTGAGAATGCAGACTGCTTAGTCTGGTGGTCAGCAGCTGGGAGAGGGAGTGTGCTGGCTGTTACCAGAAAGCTTAGTGCCTGCCAGATGACGGCTCCTTCCAGCAAGACACAACTAACACAGAGAATGGGAGAATGTCCAAACCCAGAGCAGTAAGACATACCTGGAATCTCAGCACTCTGAGGCTGAGGCAGGAGGATCACAAGTTCTAGGCCAGCTTGAGCTACATAGTGAGACCTTATTTAAAACTTTTTCTTTTTGGCTAGAGAGATGGCTCAGTGGTTAACAGCACTGAGTGCTCTTGCAGAAGACCCAGGTTTGATTCCCAGCACCCACATGGTGGCTAACGATTATTATAACTCCAGTTCCAGGGGATCCAATGCCTTCTTCTGACCTCTGCGGGCATTGCCCGACATGGGTTCACTGACACACATACAGGCAATACACTCATGCACATAAATAAAATATACAAAAAAAATCTATTTATGACAAAAGTCATAAACAAAAAGGCAACCAAATAAAACCAAGGACATCTAAAACCCCCAAGAGAATAGTGTCTAAACACCCTGCATGGCCTCCATGCATGATGCAACCCCTCTAATGTCTGCTGTGGGCACAAGCTCACTATGCCTCTGTACCCTTTGAGAGGCCATTTGACACCTTCTCCCCAGAGCTGGACATGGATGCACCTTCTCGTCAGAAGCTCACAGTCCAATCAAAGAATCCCTTCTCTTCCTTTCTCCAACATTCATTTCACCTGTTCCAATTTCCTACACAACATTTAACACCATCTGAAGCTGTTTATCTGTTTGCTTGTTTATGAGCTGAACATTCTGCTGCGGTGTAAGGTCCGGGAGATGAGGGGCTTTCTCAGTCCGATCTGCCATCAGACACACAACACTAGAATGGTATCTGGCAAGTTGGTTCTTTGCAGAAAACAAAAGCTACAGGAGGGTACATGTTAGCTCATTCCAATAACAATACCCTTTTTTGAGCACTGGTCTGGCGGGCTTGATCTCATTATTTCATTAATCCTGCCGACAATCCTGCAAGGCAGTGCTGTTCCTCCATTTTTTCAAATGAAAAGCCTCAGCTTAGAGAGGTGATGGGACTTGTTCAAGGTCATGCTGCTTTCATTAGTTAAGTGAGATTCAAACCCAGATGAATTCTAAAGACCCTTATCCATTAGCAAAAACTATATCATCGCACTGACAGGGAAAAGAAAAGTTGGCAGCAATGGTGCTTATTAATGAAATACCTTGTAAGTCATTGCAGACAACAAGGGTTCTCATGGGTATTCCGAAAGAATTTCCTTATTTGATGGGAGGTCAACTCTAGGTGACCAATAAAGCTGTATCTTTCCATTAATCCATCCACCTATCCACCTACCTATTCACCAACAACTTATCCTCCCATCCACCTACCCACTACATCCATTTATCCATACATACATACATACATCTATCAATCCTCCCATCTATCTACCCACTCATTCATTCACCCACCTATCTATCCATTTATCCATCCATCATCCATCCACCCATCCACCCATCCATCAATCCTCCCATCTATCCACCCACTCACCCATTCACCCACATATCCATCCAACCATCTATTCACCCATCAATCTAAACATACATATATACATACGTATGTACGTCTGTACGTACATACATACGCCTACACACTTATCATTCATCCATCCACTCACCCACCTACCCATTCTATCCAATCATTTATCCATCCACTCACTCATTCCCCTCCTCGATCTATCTACCTAATCATCCAGTTACTACATCCATCCATCCATCCATCCAAACACAGGAAAACACCCAAGTACCCACCCAACAGCCTGCCTATCATGCCAAATACCATTCATCCATTCAACCCTCACTTTGTCCTCCAGTCACAGGGTCTCTTGTCATAGTTTCTGAATAAGTGAATGAATAAAGAAACAAGTCTGATGAAGAACACAGACCATGATGGTCCAGGGAAGGACCTGCTGCACATTAACAGTGATGGGGGCTCTGGTACCCCACTCTTTGATCTTAGGAAGAATGCATTAATACCCTTTGAGGCTCAAAGAGGTTGACATGTTTCCCAGGTCACACAGCAAAGAAAGAGGTACAAGTGAGTAGAACTCTGAATAACTGAGTCAAAAGCCACCTGGCTGTTTCCACCTGTCCTCTGACAAAGAAAGCAGCTGGAGGCAGAGCACTCTGGCAGGACCCTGCACTGGCCTTCAAACGGACTTGGATGCTGATGTTGAGAAAAACTAGTAACTTATCTTTGGGGTTTTAGACAACAGAAAAGCTTCGCAGATAGACACACGGAGACATGGATGCTTTAGTTCTGGAGAAGGGGAAGGAATATCAGGAACTCCAACAACTGTTCCAGCAAAAGAACTTCCTTGGTTTAAATAAAAGCATTCTTGGGTCAGACATTTGGCTCAGGAAGCTGCCAACACAACAGGGATGAACATCCTGAGTTCTTTCTGTAGTGCAACCGCTGTGGGAAAGGTTTGCAGGAAGGCACAAACACCCCATAGCAAAGAGACACAGACAGGGTGGGGAGATGGAGACAAGAGGTTGAGGGAGGGGCAAACCAGGAGGGGGAAGGCTGGCCACTATTCAGTGGCTGCTTGTAGTGATCAATGCCTGTGTGATTCTACTCACATCTACCCAAATATCAGTACAGGAAGGAACCTGTTGTCTTCCCACTCAGTGGGCAAGGGAGCTGGGACTCAGGGAGGTTCCTGTTAAGTATCTGAGCCGCTGGGTAAGGTGGTACATCCTGTAACCCCCGCACTCCAGAGGTTAAAGCAGGAGGGTCATGACTTTGATGCCAGTTTGGGATACACAGGTAAGAGGGAGAGTGCTGGCCTAGCATGCTTGAAGCTTGGCTCCATCCCTAGCGCTGCAAAAAAGAAAGAAAAAGAAAGAAAGAGAGAGAGAGAGAGAGAGAGAGAGAGAGAAAGAAAGAAAGAAAGAAAGAAAGAAAGAAAGAAAGAAAGAAAGAA